GTTAGATAGTTTAGATAGTTCAGGGGCTTCCTGAACTATCTAAACTACCTAAACTATCTAACCTCTGGCTGGGGACGACCCAGAGGGAATTGAAACTTTCTAAACTATCTAAACTATCTAAACTATCTAACCTCTGTTTTCCCAAAATCGAGGTTAGATAGTTTAGATAGTTTAGGGGCTCGTCTAAACTATCTAAACTATCTAAACTATCTAAACTATCTAACCTCCTTTTTTCCCAAAATCGAGGTTAGATAGTTTAGATAGTTTAGATAGTTTAGATAGTTTAGAAAGTTTCAAACCTCCTGGGGGCCTCCCCGGAAAGAGGTTAGATAGTTTAGATAGTTTAGATAGTTCAGGGGCTTTCTGAACTATCTAAACTATCTAAACTATCTAACCTCTGGCTGGGGACGACCCAGAGGGAAGTGAAGCTTTCTAAACTATCTAAACTATCTAAACTATCTAACCTCCTTTTTTCCCAAAATCGAGGTTAGATAGTTTAGATAGTTTAGGGGCTCGTCTAAACTATCTAAACTATCTAAACTATCTAAACTATCTAACCTCCTTTTTTCCCAAAATCGAGGTTAGATAGTTTAGATAGTTTAGGGGCTCGTCTAAACTATCTAAACTATCTAAACTATCTAACCTCGATTTTGGGAGAAAAGGAGGTTAGATAGTTTAGATAGTTTAGATAGTTTCAAACCTGCTGGGGGCCTCCCCGGAAAGAGGTTAGATAGTTTAGATAGTTTAGATGGTTCAGGGGCTTCCTGAACTATCTAAACTATCTAAACTATCTAACCTCTGGCTGGGGACGACCCAGAGGGAATTGAAACTTTCTAAACTATCTAAACTATCTAAACTATCTAAACTATCTAACCTCCTTTTTTTCCCAAAATCGAGGTTAGATAGTTTAGATAGTTTAGGGGCTCGTCTAAACTATCTAAACTATCTAAACTATCTAAACTATCTAACCTCCTTTTTTCCCAAAATCGAGGTTAGATAGTTTAGATAGTTTAGATAGTTCAGGGGCTTCCTGAACTATCTAAACTATCTAAACTATTTAACCTCCTTCTCCAAGAAAGGAAAGTAATCACATAGTACCTAAAGGTCCCTCTTACATATATATATCAATATATATATATATACTTATATATATAATATGTACATATATATATATATGTATGTATATCAAATGTTCAATGGATGATGGCCACGGCCTTTATGTATATTCTCGTTGTTGGTCAGATCTGGGCAGGCGCAGGTCATTGTGCAGCAGCTCCGGATGGCGCGGAGCCGCCGCCATGGCTGAGGACGTGGGGCACGGGCTTGGGAAGTTTTACTTCCATGGGTTTAAGGCAGAATCGCATGCAGCGCAGGCACAGGCGCTTTTCAAAGCTCAGGTGGGCTTGGCAAATAACCCCGTTGTGGAACTTTATGTAAGGGCGGCCCCGAAGTCAAGGATTCCTTGTAAACCGATAAGGAATAGAATGAAGAGAAAAAAACGACAAAATATACATGTTGCGCAGAAGGAAGGGCACTAAGCTTGTACTACAAAGCAATGAAAAGCCAGCTGGCTCACGGAAACATTGATACCAGTACTAAGCTTGTGCTACACTAAAGATGTACTACTGTGTGGTAGCAAAGCTACTTTGCTAACCTGGATGTGTCGTTTACCTTGTAAAACGATAAGGAATGAAGTTTCACGGTAAGGTTTGCGCTCGGGTACTTGCGTTTACGACCGGCTTTTTTTGCCAGCCCAGGTGAAGTTGATGGAGTTTACGGCGTGCGTCTCATTCGAGTATTCGTTCACATCCTCGTGTAGATGTAATCAACAACCGCCTGCCATAAAGGCCTGTATCGCATCGTCAGTCCTGTGCAGAACGCAGGCCGCCCAAAGCGTGACATCGCCCTTCGGCTGGCCGGGCAGCTGAAGGGTGAGACCTTGCCAGAGCCCTAGTAAAGGGGGGACGTGGAGTTTTCTGCCACACACCTACGAGTGTTGCTTCAAGTCGCGACACGAGGTTGTACCTTTGCGAGAGCACACTGGGGGGGGATCCGTTCCCAACCAATTCTGGGAATACCTTGAACTACTTGGATTCACTTGGTCCTACTGTACCTTCAATAGTTTAAATGACTCGAAGCAGTATCTTCCCGTATGAGGACGGCTAGACTCGGCTAGACCAACCAGCAATCAGTTCTTTACCCGAGCTCGCGCGGGCCTCGTGCAAGCTCACGTCGGCCTCGCACGGAACATGCCGTAAATCACGATGTTGTCCTTGCTACTGTCGCGTGTCGGGAAATGCGTGCACGTGGTGTTTGGTTAGTTTAGTTGTTAAACTGGAAAAGTTTTGTGGGTTTGCGGGCATCACTTCTAACAACCACGCACGACCATAGAAATGATCCTTTTTGACGAGGTGGTGGTTGATCAAAATTCTGTGGTTGGGGTGTCGACGACTACAAACCCTAATAAATCCCTATAGTCGCTGATTCTTGTCCTCAGAAAAGCCATGAATAAAAGACTGCTGCCCCACCCCTTGGTCCGAAATCAAGGGTGCTTCCGAACAAGGAACCTATGTACCCTAGATACTTGCCCACAAAGGGCGCTTAGGTCACCCCCGTCCTCTACCCTTGCTGTGGGTTCCGTTTTGGGGCGGCCCAGGTGAACCTGGCCCCTGCAGACGTTCTCTCAACCTTGCTGGGTGCCTGGTCAACCCCGCGGGGGGAGTCTTTCAAGGTGGAGGGCGAGCCAGAGCCTTTCTGCTTGCAGCGAATCCTGTTCGTTTGCGCCATGAATCCGCCGGAGTGGGGAGGCAACAAGAGCCCCCTGCCCACACCCTTGAGGCCCCTCGTGGCAGTTGTGAAGGTCGAGGAAATGCCGGATGAGCAGGTGAAAGAGATATTCATGACGAACTATGCTCCCCAGATTTGCTCCCCAGAAGCCGAGAAGACATATGCGGAAAGCTTCTTCAACAAAGTGCATCTTGAAGTGAAAATGCTGATCGCAAACCTTGGGTGCAAGGGACACGCCTGGGCTGTCAATTTGCGGCACATCCAGAATCTCGCTGCCGTGCACAGAGGCATCTCGAAGGTTGCGAGTGGTGGAGCCAAGCTCCAGGGCCTTCCCCTTCGCCTCATGCGGGCTTATGCCTGCCAACTTGTCTATGCGCAGCGGCTGCCAGCAAGTTTGACTTTTCAGGACCCGACCATAGGCACTGTCGCTGTTCGGTCCAGAGTAGAGGAGCTCATCGCCAGCGCACACGACTTCGAACCCAAAGAGTTGCAAGACCTTTGGTCCCAGCAATCCTCGAACATCTCATCCAGCATGGGATCGGTACATCTCACGCATCAAGTTGGCGCTGCAGAGGTATTCAGGTGTCAGGTTTTGCGTGGCCAGCACGCTGGCTGCATTCCCCGTGTCTTCCATCCTTCCCATGCCCCAGGGACGGCAGACGGCATTGCGTCTGCAGCATCTCTATCTTGCATCATAGGCACGCCATGCAGCCAGTGGCAGAGCCGCACCATGCCTTGTCATGCTACGAGGTCCGTCAGGTTCTGGCAAGTCTTCGCTTATCCGCTTGCTGGCCGAGCTTTTGGGCAAAGAGCTCGTGATTGTCCCCATGAGCCACCGCTCTACTGCCCAAATGCTTCTGGGAGGCTTCGCTGCTGTCATTGCTGGCGGACGCGCCGAGCAACTTGCACAGATGCTGAACGACTTGTTGCTGAAAGCTATGGACGAGATGGGATTCGGCAACGTCGCCGAAGCAGTGCGAGACGCGCAGTCTGCTTCAGGCGGCTTCAACACGTCGTAGATTTTCACATGTGCAAGGACACGGCTTCGGCTGTGAGATTGCGTGGTATCTCATGAAGTGTCTGGTAGTGTGGGGCATGTACAAAGCAGACCTTGACTTTGTGCCTGGTGTCAGGCGATTTCTGCGACCACTTCACCCACTGGCTACGCAGCTCCTCCACCAGCCTTGCTGTTGAATCTAACGAGTTGCAGAAGGAGTATCGGCACGCACAACACCTGGGAAACAATATGACGCTGCTGTTCCAGGAGGGTCCCTTGATAAGGGCGATGATGAAGGGTGCGTGGATTGTGCTGGAGGACTTGAACTTGGCCCCTTCAGAGGTGGTCGAGAGGATCAACCCCCTGGGCGAGGAGGATGCCCACATGCCCCTAACAGAGCCTAGGTCCATCATCTTGGTGATTGTTTTTTGCCTTTGAAGGTGAACTTTGGTATGGGAGACACCGTTTTCCGTTTCACATCTTGCATGTATACATGTATACACACACATATATATATATATGTTATATATATATATATATTGTATCATGTATTCATTTAGTTATGTATAAAAAGAATGATTCAGGAGCTCGCGCTGGATGAAAGCAGCAAGGCTTCTGCAAGGCCAGAAGAAGGCTTCTGCTGCTTTGTGACCGTTGATCCTTCCCGCTCTGGGAGCCATGAGTTTTCTGGAGCCTTTCTGAATCGATGCTTGGTACTTGATGTACCGCCTGGGGAGCCCGAGGTGGGATGTGCCTTGCTGCCCGGATCCTCTAGCCGAGCCTTGCGCATTGGCAAAGAGGCGGCTCGAATCTGCTCGGAGCTGAAGAACATGGCAAGGGCATGCCAGGAGGACGCAGCCCTGCCACGTTACTGGAAGGACTCTCTGGTGCACGAGCGCTGGCAGAGGCTGTTGCAATGCTTTGGCCCTGCCGCAGCGGGACTTCAGCCCCTCAGCACCATTGCAGCTATTTACGGGATCTCCGGAGAGGCCGAGGACAAACTCTTGCTACCGCTTGTCGACCCAATCCTCTAGATCCTCCGGGCGCCTGCCTTCGTACCCCGGGAGTCAGACTTCCGAGACCGCGTGCAGCGCTTCCTGGGCCATGCCAAGGATCTTTTTTCACAGTTCCAGGACCCCTAAGATGAGCGACCTTTTCGCACAGGAGCATCCAAATTTGCGGATCCCGACCTCAACAAACCCTGTGCTTTTGAAATGGGACATCACCTCTACAGAACTTTACTGCAACGTCCCAGGTGCTGCCGTTCCAAAAAAACTCCGCCAGCTCTTTGTGAAGACGTGTATTTTCTGGATGGGCCGTGGTGACGCGTCACACAATCGCAAGACGATGCTGGAACTCTGTGCTGCTCGAGAGCCTCTTTGAGTGCCCGCGTGCCTCTTCATTCTCAGGACGCGCTTGGTCCCTCTCAACAAACTGTCTTCAGCTCCCAGGCGTTGTACTTGATGCGTCCGACATGGTCCGCGCGGAGGCTACGGAGACTTTGGCTGTGCGCACTCGGCCTCAAAAAAGGGATCTCGTGAGACCGCGTTTGAGGTGGTGTAGTTGTAAGTAGTAGCGGAAGTAGTAGCAAAAGAAGTAGCAGAAGTAATCGCTTCCCCTAACACTAAACGCCCCCCGCACCCCCCTAACAACAGACGCCGAATTCTTTGCCAAGTGTTGTTTGTTGCTAGGGGGCGCTGTTCATCTCTTCGGGCCGGAATTAAGGTCCCAACATGCAAGTACCACCAGCTACCGCCACAATTCATTTCGATGCATTCCAAGGTTCCGGGTCAGCGGGGGAGCGGGGCGGAGGGGCTGGGGGCAGCGAGGTGAGCGAGGGAAGCGGGGTGGGCAGGGGGAGCGGCGGGGGTCTGGAGCCCTTCAAATGCACATTTTCATTCAAACGAAAGCCCTAGGTCCTGAGCCATGTACCGGGCCCCTCTATAGCTTGGGGGGCTCGCCCCCGCCAGGGGTGGGCAGATACTGCAGTGCTGGTGCGAAATCGACTGTTCAGGGATTTCATGTGACTGTGCCGGTGACCGGGGATCTTATAACCTCAAGCAGAAATTCTATCAGCAGGTGACAATAGGACGTATTCACAGAAGGAGTCTTTGAGATGATTCGGATTGGGCTTGCTAATGCGCGTTGTCATCAGGCTCGAGGCCAGAGATCTCCATTTCTGCAGCAAGGGACCAACACCTGGCATTTGTGCAGACAAAACAGCGCAAGAGAGCCCGTCTGGAGGGAACTTGGCAGTCAGACAGCACATGCAAAAATCACCCGCAGGTAAGCGTGGTTTTTATCCCCTTGTAAAACCCTGCAGAAGCAGGAATTGTTTCGCAATGGCGGACAGCTGCCAGTTCGGCCCGTGCTCCGAGGCCAGCGACCACAAAGCCTCATAAGTCTTAATTTGCCACACCGCCACGCCTGGATGCCACTCTCAGATTTTGCGCTTCCTTTGGAGACCCTACTACAGCAATCTCCAGTTTTCTCCTCTAAGGGACAACAGGCTGGAAATTACCACTCTGTAGGCTGTAGGACACTGTAGGCGAATCCCGCAAAGTTATTCAAACGATACGGGGTTGGTTGACGAATGACGGATTAATGGACCCAGTGTCCCAGTGTAAGCCCGACAGCGAATGCTCAACTTCCCCTCCGCCACGGGTGCGCGCAACGTGTGTCGCACTCGTAGATTCTTTCCTAGACACTTGCTGGGTTGAACCCAGACCGAACCTACACCACATCATCATGCATCCACAGACTGTTGTTGATGCCGTGCGTAGGTTTCGCACTTTGCAACTTGCATGATGCGGAGTGTGCCATGAGACGTTGCAAGCTTCAGTCGTGAAAGCTTGTCATGGCAGGTCGAAGACTGAAGCATTCATTCCTAGCGCTAGACAGATCTCCAACCTTCAGCCTACACTAAGACGCTTGCACCATCACAGAGATGTTTGTGGAGTCAGGGATCTGGCTGACAGAGTATCAGTCTCAGCCCTGCGGTTGGATTTTTGGGAGTCTGGAAAGCTCTTGTACGTGCAGGCATTCCAGAAAATGAAACACGAGTTGCTGGAGGAGTTTGGTGCTTGTGAGAGACTCGGACAGTCAGCAACACATTCATGCACGCGCAGGAGTGGCACGCCTTTCGAACAGAACTACTGCGTGACATCAAGCTCCACATGCAGGTGCGATTGTCCTTTCTGCGCCAGAACTATCGGCTCTCAAACGTCAGACTTTACATGCTGCCTCCTCCCCGTTCCTTACAGTAGTTGGCATGCTGCATCGTGTTGCTGCCGGAACTGTAGTTCTTGTCAAGCATGTCCTGGTGATGCTCCAGATCTCCCTAGTAAATGCAAGTGTGCTGCTCAGCTGGGCAATGCTCGCAGGGTCTTCCTACTTCAGATGCGACTTCTCCAGAGCTGGCAAAGGAAGGGCTTTTCCCACTAGGTTTTTCTTGCAGAAAACCGTTCCAACCTTCGAGGTCCAGCAGGACAAAGGGCAAGTTGCCGAAGAGGCCACCCTCTGCAGCTACATGTCTCTGCAAGCTGTGAACGGCAGGGTTTTGCGCGAGTGGCTCCTGCCAGCGAGTGGGTTTCAGCCAAAAGCCTCAGGACGAAGGCCAGCAAAGTGGCGATGTGGCCGTCACCCCACAAGCTGCTAGCGTGAGGGACTCAAAGGGGGGCTTTTGTCAACAGGTGAACCTTGGTGCTTCGCTGAGGTTGCTGCGGCTCCGCGGGTGCTTGAGCTGGACCAGGGCGCGGAGGCGAGAGAAAGTGCACTTTTGTAGACGCTTGAAGCGCGAATGTGTGCCAGTAAGCAAGAATTACTGTAGTAGGCCCTCGTAGTCAAACGGACTTAATTAGCAAGTCGTTGCAGGATTGCGCATGATTGCGCGGCCCAAGCTTGCGTGCTTTTGTTCCTGATTTCCTCACGGCTCGGGGCCGGAGAGACTCAAACGCTCCGAAGATCTGCCGGCTGATTTGATTTGCAGGTCACTCCGCCACGGAAACGCCGCAGGGTGCAGCAGGAGTGGTGCCAGAGACATCCCGGCAACACAACAATACGCTCAATCACCTTTCTGTCTACACGTAATTCAAAAGAAAACCCTTGCTCAAAAGAGTGAACTCACATGAAGTCTTCCAGGATGAGACGCCGAATCCGAAGGCTTCTGGAGTGCAAGAGGAGGGCGATCGCTGGCTCCTCCCCAATTTCCAGATCTGCGAGCAGCTTGGCAGGGGGTCATATGGCACCGTTTGCAAGGCCGTGGACACCCGCAAAAGGCGGCCGGTGCCAGTGGCTGTCAAGAAGATGGCCAACGTGTTCGCTTGGCACCCCGCCGATGCCAAGCGAGCCTTGCGCGAGGTTGCGATCTTGAGCAAACTGAAGCACGAGAACATCGTCAAGCTCTGCGACGTAGTTGTACCCTGCCGCACAAGTGCCTGTGAGGACATCTATATAGTCATGGAGGCTTGCGACTCTGATCTGGACAAGCTCTTCTGCTCGGGCATAAACTTGATGCCACGCCAAATGAAAAAGCTTACGTATACTTTGCTTTGTGGGGTGAACTACCTTCACTCGGCATCAATCTGGCACCGTGATCTGAAGCCGGCCAACTGCCTGTTCAACCACCAGGCAAGGTCCCGCAACAAGTGGTCTATCAAGATCTGCGACTTCGGCCTCAGTCGTCCAAATCCCAGGCGGCTGACGAGGGACCTCACTGACCATGTGGTCACTAGGTTCTGGCGGGCCCCCGAGCTGATCTTGTTGCAGAAGAACTACACAGAGGCCATTGACATGTGGTCGGTCGGTTGCATCTTTGCGGAGATCCTGGGCATGCGGAAGGGCATGCAAATCCACGAGCGGGGACCGTTGTTCCGCGGAGCCGTGTGCTTGCCATTGTCTCCGGACCAACGCGAATGTTGGCCAGGGTCCGACGAGCCCGAGCAGCATGACCAGCTCAACATGATATTCGATATCCTAGGAACACCGGAACCAGAAGAGGTTGAGCAACTGGATGGGGACGCCAGGTCGTACGTTGAACGCTTCACAGAGCGCGAAGGAAAGGGCCTGGAATTCCCCGGAGTCGAGACAACAGCCATGAACCTGCTGAGGAGGCTGCTGCGGTTCAGTCCGCAAGAGCGCATCAGCGCGGCTTATGCACTTCAATGCGGCTGGTTCGACCGAGTCCGCAGCCAAGCCATGGAAAGGCCTGCGCCAAACTTCATCAGTTTGGATTTCGAGAACGAGCCAGAGATGAACGAATCTCGACTTCGAGAGGAGTTTCTTGAACTGCGCGCGAGAAAACGGCCTTTAGGCCCTGGGGTTGAGTCTTTATGTTCTCGTTCAGCCGTAGTGCGCCAGTGCGCGTGTGTTCTTTTCATTGTCTTCCTTCATGTTCTGGCTTGGCGAGGTGGATGTGACGTGCTCACGAATTTCAACCTTTTGGAGTTGACTTCGAGTGCGGGGTTTAGCACAGATGGCTCAAGAATTCATTCATTCAATCACTCTACAACGTAAGATGAAGGACTGCAGAGCAGTATGAACCAGAAGATGCATCAAGCAGTTGACCGCAGTTCTGCTTTGGCTGCAACATGTGTATACAAGCTCAAGATCCGTTTTTCCGTGACGTTGCATGCTACAAGCTCTACATAGCTCACGTATAGAAGCCACTCGAGCAGGTTGCGAGTCTGCTTTGAGCCACTCGCATAAGCCAAGTCGATGTGATGTGCATGGGCGCTTCCTCGCGAGAAGTGCGCACACAGGCACGCACACTCTTCCACACATTCTTCCCGGTTCCCTCATCCCCCATTCCCCCTTCGTGCGACTGCTTCGAGGCTTATCTTGGATTATCACGGATTCTTCCCTCCTTCGATGGAGCTGATGCCACTTTGCGGCATCCTTTGGTTCAGCAGCAGTATTCTGGTTTGCTCATTCGGGGAGTTCGGGCTTGGGTACATGGAAAGAACGCAAACTACCAATAGGGTACATCAGAGACTGCTGCAGGATGCATTGTGCGTGGGCCTTGCCGTGGGCCGCCTTCCGCGATGGCTGAACAGCGCATCTGCAGCGCGGGCTGCGACACTCCTGTTGTGGGCTTGAGGCCGGGCTCTTCTTGAGCGCTTAGATGAGAGAACCGTGTGTTGGGGCTGTGAGGCCGGGAACTTTGTTTTGAGGAAACTTGTGTAGTCAAACCCTAACTGCTAGGACCTAGCAAATCGCAAATCGGTCCCAGTGATTATACAGGTAGGTAAGAAGCCCCACATCACCCTAATCTACCACCCATAAGAAGAGAGAGGAAACTCTCCTTCCTGCACTTGTCCTCCCTGACGTCGCTGCGCGATCTGGTCGGGGGTCTCGAGCCGCACACGGAGAAGTCCTATGCGCGCCCTTTGGTCCCGTTTTCGTGGGTTCTCGTGGTTGGGCTCACATGGGAATGTCTCAAACCATTTTCATGAAACCTTGAAGTATTTCTCAACAGGACGGTAGATTCACAAAGTCGAAGACCGCCATCCTCATTACGAGGATCCTCCTGAGTATCCTTGAACCGTGATTTTGAAGACACCTCCATCGCAAGACCTTCATCTAGGGTTTTGAATCATGGGGGGAACTTATCCTATCCTTAGTGGACTTGAACTATGCGCCCTTTTGTAGGGAACATGACTGTTGTTAAGGGCGGCCAATCGTTCAAAGCTTAGATTTAGACTTCGCGCCTGATACCCGAGGCTCCTGCTTGGTGGAGACCTGCCAGCTTCTCTGCGAGGCCACAAGTCATCCAAATCGTCCTTCACCCTTGACAGCCCAAGACAGCCTCAGGACCCACAACGGAAGACCAAACCGTGCCGTCAGCCTTGCAGAACAGGGGCCTACAAAAACACGCATCTCTGTGACTGAACGCATCTGAGCTGCCTTCCGAACTCCGAAGAACAGGGAGACAGTGACGACCAAATAGCGTTCGAGTGGCAAGCCGATGACACGAGGTTCTTGGCTGGCGAAGCTCAGGCAGGCATACTGGAGTTCAAGTGGACACCTTCCTGCTGGCAGATCAGGGCCAACCGTCATGCCCGCCCAGATGAGCCACACAGGGGACACAAAGTGATCACCAAGGTGTGGGTGTGTGTAGGGGGGGGGGGGGTCCGGTTGCCAAAAAAGTGAAAACGGAGTATTCCACTGAGCTGACTCAACATGCCCTACAGGTGCGACACACGACTGCAGGCAACGTGAACGTGCAGCTGCTACAGGAACCCACCTGGGACTTCATGCGCAAACCCCAAGGCAGAAGACACCGGTACTTCGTGGTCGGGCCCGCCAATGGCGCACTGGATTTGGAAGTGACCGTCCAGACAGACTCCCTGCAGATGGCCCTGCAAGAGCAAGAAAGGCAGTCACACCAAAGGTGCATTGTAGAGACCATTGATGGAGTGGTGAGACCGAGTCCATTTCGTATGGGCCCCGGCTTGGTGAGCAGCGCTTGCGCATGCCTCGACAGGAGGTCTGTCGGCCGCGTCATGTGGTGGAGGCCTGGTTTGATCCTCGACCCCGGCTTGTTCTTGCTGCTTCAGCAAGGGGTGTTCCATATTCTTCACGCTTGCAAATCTGCTTCGCGTGGGTGAAAGCTGATTGTACAGAAGGCCCTCGCGCTCTGCGCTTAGTTTCGCGAGCATACCCTTGCATTTTCCCAGTTTCCAGGTGAGCTCGCTGAGTTCGCCATATTTTGTACAGAATAAACCGAAGGCGCCGGCTCCTACTTAGCAGCGTCGGAAGAAAATGTAAAAGGCTCCTTGTGAGATACGGTCGGTTGATGCATGGCTCACCAACGACATGCGCAAGTTGTTTCAAGCATGTGCGGCTTGTGCATCTCTTGCCACCAGAAGAATATGGGGCTTGGCTCAAGCATAGCCATCGGTTCCTCACTCTGCAAGATCATCGGGAGAATGCAACTCATGTCCATTTAATTTATGTCATGAAGTCGTTTGCTCGGTCATGGGACGCACGCTTGCGTAGCCATCGTTCCTCACTCTGCAAGAGCAATCGGGAGAATGGCGACTCATGTTGATTATTTCATGACGTCGACGGCTGGGTCATCGGATGCTTGGTGCTTGTCCGCAGTCTACATGTTTGCTCACCGATGCAGCGACTGGCAATCGATCAGCTGGATCAGCAATGCCTAAGCCGGGGCACGTCTAGATCACGGTGTGGTCCCTCGAAGTCACCTAAGGTTTCCGCTCCTACGCCCATATCTGATCGGTGGGTCGAGTTGTCCTGTCGCTTTGCACATCTACGACTCTTGGTCAGAGCTCCCTCCTGCCATACTCACCCCAGGTGGATTTTGGTTGGCGACGGTGGAGCATTCACATCGCTATCATGATCTAAGGATGTGGACAATTCGTACAGCAAACAGGCGCTTCAAAGCCCTGGGCACGGGCATCTTCCATGGATCTTCGCTACTCGAAAGACCGTTGAGGAAAGTCTCTTCGGGGCTGAGATGACCTGGCCTTTTTCCGTTCACGTTCTGCCGGAAGCTTCCACGGATGCTGCAACATGTGTGTTGGTACATGCTACAAGCTCTACATGCCTCACGTATAGAAGCCACTCGAGCTGTCAGGTTGCGAGTTTGCTTTGAGCCACTCGTATAAGCAAAGTGGATGTGATATGCGTGGGCGCTTATGCGTGCGCACACACACACACAGAGGCACGCACAGGCATGCACACTTCTTGCTTCGAGGCTCATCTTGGATTATTATCACCGATTCTTCCCTCCGTCGATGGAGCTGCTGCCACTTTGCGGCGTCCTTGGTTCAGCAGCAGTACTCCGCATTGCTCATTCGGGGAGTTCCGGCTTGGGGACATGGAAAGAATGCAAACTACCAATAGGGTACATCACAGACTGCTGCAGGATGCATTGTGCGTGGGCCTTGCCTTGGGCCGCCCTCCGCGATGGCTGAACAGCGCATCTGCAGCGCGGGCTGCGACACTCCTGTTGTGGGCTTGAGGCCGGCTCTTCTTGAGCTCTTAGGCCTTAAGGGGAGTGAGGCCGGGAACTTTGTTGCAATGAGCGGTCATCCGTCGAGGTTGGCACATCATGATGCCTGCAGTCTGACTCAAGACATTGCAAACAACAATTCATGCTCGAGCACGCTACAAAACTCCCAGTTTGTCAGAGCCAGCATGTGCTCAGAAGTGTGCGCCCTCACTTTAGGCTGACCCACAATATCAATCTGACACAGTGCTGTAGCCGATCTGCAGCAGCCGCCATGGTTGGTCAGCTGAGCGGAATGCTTGGATTCCTGTTTCCGGGAGTCTTGGGTGTGGCCCTTGTGTGTGCTGGAGACACTGCGCCTGCAATTGTGCACTACGCTGGGAGTCTGTTCCTGCTTGTTTCTGCATTGCTGGCAGCTCTCTGGTGCTATGCGTTTTGGGCCTTCCATTTGGCAACAGTCAAAGCGCCCCGGTGCAGTAGCTGCGAGGAAGCAACAGCAGAGCCACGCATTATGCTGGAATGGTCAGCTTCAGACGAGTTCCCTGAAGACTTTGCACCATTGCTGGCGCTGAAGCAATTAATGTTTGTCGGCGAGGGCATCTCTGGTGCGTTAGTGGAGAAGCTGGAGCTCAACATGGAGATCCATCTCCGCCCAGGTGGCCACAAGCTCAAGGTCTCGTCCAAGAGCCAACTCGAGCTGTTAGTACCCTCTTCTGGCAAGCAGAAGTGTCAGCTTGTCCTGCGGGCGAAGCCCCCCACGCCGCAGCACGAGGCGGTTGCGACGCACTTGCAGCTGGACCTGCCTGGCGTGCAGCTCGCTGGTGTTGCAGGGGCTCTCGACAGCATTTGGGATCTCTGGGCAAGCGCTGGAGAGAGCTCCACAAGTGCTGCATTCGGCCCAAGCTTCCGATGGCTTTGTGTCCTACTGCTGAGACTTCTGGAGACCGCATTGCCCATCCAGCTCTTCAACGTGGAGGGTGTCGCAGCTGGAGATCAGTTCCTTCTGTTCTTCAGTGGCTTGGTGGGGCCAATCCCCTTCCAAAGGATTCATCTTCCGACATTTCTGCTGCCGCGGCTACATGCCCCACTGAGACGCCTCCTATCACCCAACCCGCTGGTTGGGCAGAAGTTGCACCATAGTGCACCCCTTCCTGTGGCACATCCTGCGTTGTTGGCCGCCTGGAACTTAAGTGTGGATGCCTGGGTTAGCCCCGTGGGCTTAGATGTGGCTCTTCGGCTGCGTGATGGGTCGTTCTCAACATTTCATGGGATGCTGTTGTCCGAGGGGCGTACTTTGCGGTTGCGCTGCCAGTCATCGGGCAGCCTGGACAATGAAGAGCTGCGGCTTGAGTTGCAGTCCTTCAGCGTTTCCTCAAACAAGCTGGCCTTCGATGCCTCTGGCAGTCGGGGTGTGCGAGGCAACGCAAGTGTCGTGGTGGGTCTTGGTAGGGGCGTCCGCTCCAAGTCTGCTACCAAGGAGCGGCAAGTTAGCGGGAGCCCAGAGACGCTGCCGGAGCTTCTCTATGTCGCCGCCTGTAGAGGCACCTTGGAGCCAGCCTCTCTGGACGTCCAGTGCAGCATGAGTCTGGCAGATGGCTCGGAGCTTCCGGAGCCGTTGCGATTGACTTTTCGGGACGAGCACCCGCTCATGCTTGGCAGCGCCAATGTGGCTGCCCAGCTGCAGCGCCTGGCGCTGCGGGGCAGCGCTGCGTTGCGCCAAGACCTCCCTATGCAGCGAAAGCGCGATCTCTTGCAGCTACCAACAGCCGATTTCAGTTTCGAAGCCGCGCTGTCCTTGGAGGAAGAGACGTCCTTTGTGGACGATGGCTTTTCCACAGTCCGCTTCCGCGGAGTTGAAGGCACAGCGGACGGTCGTCTTTGGTCCGCGTCGGAGGACTGCCTCCAGACGAAAGTGGATGTGCACATCGGTGGGATCTTGGCGCTCAAAGCGCGAGCAGCCTCCTTCGTCCAGGCACTTATCGAAGCAGAAACTGCGGCTGCCCGCCTCAGCGGTTCTAAGCCACGAAGCACTGATGCTACTCTTCCTCGTCCCAAGCAGTCTGAAACGATTGGTGCAGACGAGGATGCACCATACACATCGGTTCGTGCTGGGGACGTGGTCTTCTTGGAGGTGGGAGGTTCTGCAGTAGCCACCGCCGCTGGCAAGCTGCGCTTGTTCCCAGTGGTACTAGATGGCGCATCCAGCCCCGTATCACGAGGGCGGCGGGAGGCTGAGAAGCTCGCAGTGGCTGACATTGACCTCCACGTCTTGGACGGCGACTCGCGAATGCCCATGCTGCGAGCGTCCCTGGCGGGGTCCGAAGCCAAGATGGAGCTTGGGGAGTTCAGGGCACAGGTTGGAGATTTTGCTTTGACGATTCCATCAAGGGTCAAGGTCAAGGTCAGTGTTGTGGAGGCAGAGATCAACGCTGAAGGCATTGGCCAAACCCACCTCAAAGCTTCCTGGGATGGGCTGGGCCAGCCACTCCTGCAGCACACGGCAAAGCAACGATCAGTTCTTTTTCCGCAGCCGCCATCTGCATCCGGGTTCACCGTCCGGATTGGCGACATGGGTCAGATGGGCATCACGCTTGATGATGAGCCTGATGCTGCTGAATGCGGAAACCGTCTCCTAGACGATGAGGCTTGGTTCTCCCCCCTCTTGGAATTGGCAGCCACGATGAATCTGGAGCCGGCTGTGAAGCGAGTGCTGAATTTGTCTCGAGTCGTGCGCAATGTGCTTCGCAGTGAGGGTATCGATGAGCCAAAGGATGTCATTCCAGCACATCGCATGGCCAGGGTCATCGCAAGGATTCTGCAAGAAATTGGGACGGACGGCCAACATGTTGCCGACGAGGCGCCCACGAAGTTGGAGCTCGACATCCGTGGTGTGGTGCAGGGGGCGGTTGATGGAAAAGGTCTGGATGTGGCGAAGATAACCAGGCTTCTGTGGGACCACCTGCCTTCCGAAGCTTGTACCTTTGTGCAGGAGTACACTGCGGAAGTCGACTTCGTCATCAAGTGGTTCGATTCGGTGTTGCGCCCAACAGAGCCAACATCTGGGCCAGATCCATCCAAAGCCAATGAGCCGCCGCCCTCGCAGAAGTTTCGTCGTGACCTGGAGGAGGTCGCGCCCTGTGCGTCACGGCTCTACGAGGCCGTCGAACGGCCCGCTTTGCTTTCCCGCACCTTGGAAGATCAACTGCGAGTCTCAGCGACTTACCTCACAGCTAAACAGGTCGAACACGTCCTGCGGAGCTCTCACCTGGAACCATCCCTAAGACATCGGCTGAAATTTCTCCTTGGGCTGAAGCGGCGGGTGGAGAAGGTCGCCCAGGGCTATGGTGGCCCTGCCTTCATGCCCCAAGGGATGGCTGTGGGCTTCTTCCTGGCGACGGCAATTCGTGCATCCTTTGCTACAGGTCAGACGGCCAAGGCCTCATTGCCGCCTGTCCCTTCCCAGGCCACCAGTTTGTCAGCTCGCCTGGCCAGCATCTTGCGAGAACAGAAGGCAGTGGCGACGGAGCTTTGTCATCTGCAGGAGAGGCAGAGAATTTTGGCGGAGGAGGCGCTGCAGCTGGCAGGGCTCTCTGATGCCGAGCCTCAGATCAAGTCAGGCCCCAGCCGGATGGAAGAGAGACCATCGGAGCCGAGGGAGGTACCTTCATCGATGTTGACATACTTGGCACCACAGGGCCTGCCACAATCGCATGCTGCAGCCATAAGTGCCAACGCTGCGCGGCATGCCCAGTCACAAGCTGCCGCGACTTCCAAGGCGACGCCAAGCAATGTACCATCACTCTCCAGATCGGAGAAGCTCTTCGACTTGGGGACGTCACTCATGGGCCCCATGGAAGTTGCCATCCTCCTGCAGTCAGGCCTGGCAGCTGTGCCGCAAGGCCGGCAAGTTCAACAGAACCAACGAATGCTGCTGGAGATGATGGTGTCACAGCCCCCCCTGTTTCTGAAGGGCGTGCTTTATGAGCTCTCAAACAATGGTTCCTCGAGAGTGCTTGGGAATCACTTGCTGGCCTTGCTCGACCTCAAGCAAGATGCTGTACGACCTGGTGCTCGTCTAGATGTAGCAGATCTCCTGACACAAGCCCTCGGCGTGAGCATGCCGCGGAGGTCCGATTTCATGGCTGGCGGAAGCTCAGCAAGCCGGTCGTACTTGCTGTTGGTCCACCGGGCTGCGAAGCAGGTGTTGGAGGAATGTGAGCCATACGTGGCTTTGAAGAACTGGCTACAAAGGGCCGAGGTACCGCTGCCAACGGTCCGGGATGTGCCCCTGCCTTCTGCCCAGAGTGCTATCGTCGCTGCGCAGCAGTCCATTAAGGAGGCTGACCTGGCGGGGGCCGCTTGGCTGGCTGAGCGTGGGCCTGTTTGGTACGACGGGTGCCTTGAGGAGCCCCAGAAAAGCTTGCGCGGTGACAAAGAGCCCGAACTGAGGGCGGCTGCAGAAAGGCTGTACCTGGCTGCTTTCAAGGCATGCAGTACAGCTTTGGAAGCCAGTCAAGAAGTGCTGCGTGAGGACTGGCTCCATGCATTCTGGGCACGAAACTACGACGCTCTCGTCATCATCTCTGTTTTGCGGAATGTCCAGATGGATGTGGACGAGACCAGGAAGTGGCTGGATGCCCAGC